ATTTTGTATGTCTTCTGTATAAATATTTAAACCGATATAGCGGATTATTCCTGCCGCAGCCTGATTTTTTTTCCTTTTATTTTTTTAAATCTCAGAGATTTCGATGTTTTCAAAGCTCTTGGGCTGCCAGGTTTGCAGAGCGGCGAGTCAAAATCGAGGGTGGCGAACACTAGCCCTCCGGTCCACAGGAAGGGGCAGTTCCGGCTGTTTTGATTTTTCTCTGCATGTGGCGAATGCACCGGCCCGCTCCCGCCTCGCCTCCCTCACCTACTGCAGTTGACTTATTTTATTTCCTTCTGCCTTTTTTCCCGTGTGGAACGGGGGCGAGGGGGGCAGCCAGGTCCTGACTTGCAAGTTTCAAAATCGACCTTTCCTCCCCCCAGCGAGAGAAGTCTGTTTTCGATGCCATATCTGCCTCTCAATGCCCAGTACCGCTATTTTTAAAGATTCCTCTCACCTTTCCGCATCTCCTCGGACTGAAAGCTGGAGTCGGCTCTTAGGGACAAAGTAGGGGAAATCCAGCCAAACAACCATCAAAAACAGATCCCAAAGCCCCAGAATTATTTTTTACTCTTTTTAGAATTTTTTTGCATGTGACAGAGACAGAGAGGAGGCCGATCCAAGCCCTCACCCCACCTCCTCCGCAGCTCTGGCTCTGTCTTGCGGTCTCCGACACCCTGCTCCTAGCTCCACAGGGCCAGACAAGGGTGGGCTGATGAGGGTGGGCCCCGGTACCCCTTCCCTGCTCCTGCCCTGCCCTGCCCTCTCCTCCTCAGACTGTACCCAAGGCCTCTTTCTCCAATAAAGTCTTTGCCATTTTACTAGACCCGGCGGCGGCGGTGTGTGAAGGAGTGGGCCCGACTCGTAAGGAGCCTTGGTGTGGGCTGTTTGCTGCTGCTCCTGGCCAGTCGCCCCAGCCTGGAAGATTCTGGGAGAGGTTGGGGGTGGACTTGAGAGTGAAGGGCGCAGGGAAGAAGTGGGAGGAGATATTTCTTGTCCATAAACAGGTTGCAGCTACCAAATACGATGAACCGCTGGGGCTTCGCCAGGTCGGGGTAAACACCCCGGCGAGCGATGCTGGAGAAAAATGAGTGCTGGGGGAGGGGCGCCACAGGTACAAAATTAATTTGTGTGGGGCGAAGAGTGGGGACGAGCGGACGTGCCTGTCTCTCCCCCAACCAACAGCATTCTCCCCGCTGCGGGTAGGTCCCCCGTGCACCGCAGGGATCGCTAATCGCTCGGCGGGACTTGAGGTGGAGCCTAAGGGCTCCCAGGTTTCGGGGGTCCTGCCCCCGGGGCCTCTTTGTTGCGGCTTAGAGTAAACTGGGGGAAGGCGAGCGGGCAGGCGGCATTGGTACCCCCGCGCCCGCTGAGAGCTGAGTCCAAGCCGTCTGTGAGTTGGGGGCGATTTCCGGTAACAGTAAATCCGGCCCCCAACACCGAACTCTGCCGAGGCAAGGACGGAGACCTCGAAGGGGTTCTCTGAGGTCCGCGCGGGCTGGGGAGGGGGCTCGGGTCGCTTTCGCTTTCCCAGAAAGAGTGAATTGCTCTCTGCGCTTTTGTTGTCGCTGGGCTGGCGAGTGGCCGCTGTCACCAGAGTAGGGTCCCGCCTCCGGGCCGCTCGGCTCTTTCTCCGCAAAATTGATGTGAGAAATGCGCATCTGGTCTCGGGCAGGCGACGGCCCCCGGGCCTGAGCAGGAACGTGCGTGTTCGGGAGGAGACGGAGACGGAGAGAACGGGGAGAGCAGCCAGGCCGACGCTCCGAACGCCGGGAAAGCGAGCCACGCGAGGAGCAGAGAAAGCCGTACGCGCAGAGACAGAGAGGCGGGGAGACAGAGGCCGAGGGCGAAAGAGAGAGTGAGAAGAGCAAGGAGAGGGACCGAGGAGGCCGGAGGTGGCCGGGCCGGCCGGGCGGGCGCACGGCCGGTTCCTCTCGGGCGACATAAATCGCCCTCTCTCAGGATGGATGGGTCTGTAATTCGGAGCGCGGACCATGAAGGCCGGGACGAATGGGCCCGGGCGGCCGCTGACAGGCGACAATAGCCGGGCCCAGACCCCCGCGGCGCCCCGGGCGGGCCGCGC